CTCCCACCCCACACCCCGCCATGGAGGACGCCATCGACCTCAACGCCGCCACCGGCCTCGCCTCCCTCGCCTCATCCGGCGCCACCGCCCCCGCCGGGAAAGGCAAGCCTTGTGCCCCGTGCAAGACCGCTGCCGCGGCCAAGCCAAAGAAGCCGCTGAAGCCCGCACAGCGGGCAAGGGAGTCAGCCAAGAGGAAGGACTGGAGGCACGCCGCGAACGCGAGGGATGAGGCCGCCGCGCAGGCCGCCATCTCCGCCGCCGCGCAGCAAGAGGTCACCAACGCCCGCGATGGAGGGTGATCCAATAAGAATGCAAAAAGTTTTGCGCCACTCTTGAGAGCATCAAGGCCCGCCCCGTGAGCGGCCGGCATGCAAGACATGGTATGCTAGCAAGCCGCTCTCTTTTGTGTCATCAAGTTCATGCTTGCGTGTTAATTTGCATATCATTTGCCCATATGCTTGCATGAAAACATTTTGTAGGCATTTCAAGCTTTGGAGGCATTCAAGGTTCAACACAACGACAAGTGCTTCAACCTCTCCCATTGCTTTCGGGTCATCAAGGACAAGGAGAAGTTCAAGGCGCAATATGCCGCCCTCAAGTCGCGTGGGGGGAAGAAAGCCGTGGAGGAGGTTGGGGAGTGCGAGCCGGCACGGCCGCGGGGGAAGACCAACTCCAAGAAGGAGGACAAGCGGGATGCGGCATCCAACGCCTTGATTGCAAGCGTGGAGGGCATGATGAACAAGAAGGACTCAAGGGAGGAGGAGTGTTGACGTTTCAAGGCGGAGCAAATGGACGCTTTCATGGAGATCAAAAGAAGGAGGCTTGAGATGAACGCGGAGAAGCAAGCCAAGATGGTAGAGATCGAGGCCGCCAACGCCAAGACGAAGGCCAAAGAAGTGGCTCTCGCGAGCATGATGACCGGGGTGGAGATCATGAAGGTGGATCTCAACACCGTGTCGCCAAGGAATAGGCCATGGTTCGAGAAGATGCGGGCTGACATGCTCAAGTTCGACGACGAGTGATCTATGGCGGCGAGCGCCGTCTTTTTTATGCCGACAAGTGTGCTGGCATGACCACGGGGCCCGCGATGGCGTGGTCGAACGCAAGTCCCACCCTTTTTTATGTGCTGGCATGTGTGTCGATCGGCTGACGAGTGCGACAGCATGAACTATGACGATATTTTCTGAAGCCGGCATTGTATGCCGATGCTGGCATAATGCCGACATAGTGAGACATGGCCGACATAAAATGGGTCGGTGCGTTGGGCGCACTGCCGACCCAAATACAAAACTGGACAAACGCCGGGCAGGCGGCCGACCCAAACGGACAAAAACAAACAAATATGCCGTCCGTTTGGGTCGGTCCGTTGGAGTTGCTCTTAGCACCTCATCTAATCACCCGTCCATTGGAAGAGGTCGAAAAGACTAAACTCTTCTCACGCGGCTTCACACGCGAACCATATTCTGTAGTACCTGCTGACTTTCGAATCAGGGTCAGTCCAAATCATGTACCATCTGTAATCCAGTTGCACCGTAGCATCTTTTAACTAGTACCACTCCGCATATACAGAACTGAAACCACCACTTGCCATATGGAGCACTATACACACATCTAGGCATCTAGCTCGACGCGCGGCAGCGACACGGTCGACATGACTGTTCCACTCAGTCACAGGTACGAGTCCAGGTAAGCGTGCCGGCCCCGCCTGCCGAACTCGAGCAAGCTGCCGTAGGCCCGGTCGGCCACCCCGACGAACAGCGCGCCCGCGTCCGGGCTGAACGCCACGCCGGCGATCTCCCCGAACAGGCCGATCTCCTGCGCGGCGCCGTAGCCGGCCCGCGCGTCGTACACGTGGACGAAGTCCGCCGCCTCCGCCGCCGCCAGGAACCGCCCGTCCGACGAGAACCGGAGGCCCCGGACCGCGCCGATCCTCCCTCCCAGCACCGCGAACGGCGCCGACAGGTTGCGCGTGTCCCACAGCCGGCACGTCTTGTCCTGGTTCCCCGTCGCCAGGACGTTCCCGCCGGGGTGCCAGGCCGATGAGAACGAGTAGTCCAGGTGCCCCTTGAGAGTCGCTATCTCCTGCAAATGTAAGCAAGAACAATGCTCAGTTTTTCTGCTGGTGGAATGAAGGGGGACTCGAGGCTATATGATCTGATGATCGGTTGCGTACTTCGCCCGATTGAGCGTCGGCGATCACGCAGTCGGAGCTGTCGCCGAGAACCGCAAGAAGCTTGCCATCAGGACTCACCGATGTGTTCTGTGAAGGACATGACAACTTTCGATTCACCTTCCCGGAGCAAGAATAGAGTTCAAGATTACTGAGGAGGAGCTCAGAGTAACTCACATTGACTGACCACGGGAAATTAAAACGACTAAGCAGGCTGCACCTCTCAGCATCAAGAAATTTGACGGTGCAGTCATTGTTGGCCGCCGTCGCTCGAGTAGCGCCGCTGCATTTTGACAACAGGAAATCCGATAGTTGATCACGTATTGCCCACAAATTCAGAATCAGAATATTGACGAAACTGTACAGTTCTTACCTGGGAGACTCGTACACATCTACAGCATTCGTGACAGAATTTTTATTATCAGCGACATTCGTACAGAATACCACCCCGGGCTTGTCAACATACTGTCGAGAAACAATTTCATGAGCTAAGATACATAAAATGGCTGAAAATTCAGCGCGTCTTGAGACTATACCTTGAAAATCAGTTCGCCGCGGAAACCGCCTGCTACCATGAAATTGTCTTTTAGGGCCATTGTGCTGATCTGCACCCTGGACAGTGTCTGAGCTCCATGCCCCTTCTGTGAAGCAGAGAGTATAGATCGCAAGTTAGATATACTACAAAAATAACAGAAAGAAGGCACACCTTGAAGAGATGCAAACCTGCTTTGGAACAACTTGGCCTGCAACGCGGAGCACTTCTGTCCCTCTTTGAAGAAGAGAAGACCAGTGCATCACTGAATTGTTCTGTGCCATGTAAACATCATGCTTGGATGTGGCCCACACAAGATTCCTTAGCTGAAGATACCAAGAATAGGAATGGTCAGTGCCTTCGGAGTAGAAAATGTGAACAATGCTTTGCAGGTGCCGTTTATCCAAAAGGAAAAAAAACGTAGTTGATTGTAGCAACCAAACACTGACAATTTGATCTTGACGACATGCTTAGTGATAATGAAACATATGTTCTCTATGGTCTTACAACATTACTGAAATTATCTTACAAACGACTGCATTAAGAAAGGGAACAAAAAAGGCCTAGCAAAACGGCAGATGAGAGCACATTACCGTATCCATAAGAATTTGCTGGAATACCGATTGGCAATGTGAGTTGTGTCTGAAACTGCACAAACCGAAGGACCAATAACTTCCTACACAATCATGCACATTTCTAGGCATCACTCCCATTTGACCAACTCCACTACAGACTGTAACTCTTCACCAATATGGTTAGGACCTAGGAGTATTTCAAGATGTAGCTAAAGGAATACCTATGTCTAAAACACCAACCATCGTAAGTAACATACAGCTGAACACGCATTTGGTTATCTTACCTGAAACTAACTGAAGACAATCCAATGCAACAGTTTATGGTGAGTTAGTGACCATATTTTCAACTCCTTACAGAAGTTCAAGGGCTAATGCAGACTTTTTGCACATCGGTGCGGGTGCAGCCGCACACTATTTATAGAAATTTAAAAGAGGATAAGCAGATAACCTCTTTCAGGAACCGGAACCCATAACCATGATAATGAGTTCATGGAAATAAAATGACATCAAAATGTCAAATAGTACAATAATCAACAGACGAATGTATTCCGAGAATGCAAGACATGCACACACAATTCACTCGGCCAATAATGCAAAAGATGTAGCATTCAAGGACTTTTAGTAGGTCAAAGTTAATACCATAAGAAGTCCTGCATAAAATTTTGTTAGCATCTCTCTAAGGTTCAACCTGCGAAAAAGAAATAGGAATATGAATAATCTAACCGAACCTCGCTATAATAACCTATCATATCATATTCCAAAGATGCCATATGACAGTGCCAGCCACTGAGGATGCTCAACCACCTGCTTAAGAACCCTGTTGAATCCATTGTATTGCAGTTCTATCCTAATATACAAGACCGCTAATTGCAGAAATGAAACTACAGCTTCAGTTACCAGATCAGACACAACTTATAACATGACCTGCACTCACTGTTACGCTATAGTTGCAGTCTATACCAAAGGAATAAACACGAATGAAGATTAGAAGCTTCACCTAACGAAATCAAAACCGGTCAAAGCTTCAAGAATCTCACAACATCTACAAAACAGAGTAAGAACATAAAATGCACAACGCTAATATAACTTGAATATGTCATGCATTCACCAGTTATTATTTATATGCTTTTGGTATAAGTTTTCCTCATACTTGTTTTTCTTTTTGGAGCCGAAGACATAAGCGAAGAAAGGACAGAGAGGGAACAGTTAAATATTTGCACTAGTAAAGGTAAACAATGAGGTGAATACTGAAAGTTCTTCTACTGCATATGAGGAGTAAAATGCAATGCATTATGATGTAGTAACTGTGGGCGGCCATATTAACAGCTTGTGCTATTTTTTTTCCGAAAAGTAAAACATTCCACGTAGTTTGAGTGCATATATTTTTCCTTAAAAAATATTGAAAATTGAGCTAACTATAGTGAGCAACAATCACAAACTCTGTGGAATTCTTTAAATAATTGAACATGTTGTTTAACACCTTTGATGTTAAGGTTCTTATATCAATGCAAAAATAAATATCTTAGAAAAGTGGAAGAGAAATGTACCTGAAAATGCACTATCGTTGGCTTGACAAGTCGTGTGTTGAAGCAGAAATCATAGAACCTGTCATTTGTCTCCACTTGTTTGCACTCCTAGAGAAGGAGGGGAGGAGATAAGTCAAACAGCTAAAGGCTATCATAAGAATTTAAACTATATAACAAACAAACAAATATTCTTTATGGCATTATGGGAAGATGTATTGTTTGCTTGGAGTATCACCTCCATAGTTGAACCTTAGATACCAAAACAAACCTGACCATTTTTTGTCAAGAGACAACTAGCAAGGTGTGATAAAAGAGTTTAGGTGAAAAGGTTGCATAAAAAGCATGTGTTTATGGAAGTGGAACACGTTTGGTGCTAATACTTAGTACTAGTTAGTAACACCTAACCAAACAATCAAGAGTATTTTACGAATATGATTAACACAGAGTGAGCTATCTCACATTTATTGGAACATTAGCACAATGCCGGTGCATTGCCACGAAGCAAAAAAAATTGATGAGAAGTTGGACCATCAGCTTAGGAGATTTTCAAAAAAATATTGGTGATGTGTGACTATCGCGCGGCTCAGGGTTTAAAAGAGAGCAAAAAATACGAGGACAGATTTGCATGGGGCAGGCGTTGAAGAATCTTTTTTTTTATAAAGGACATATTTTAATATCAAGACAATACCAATTATACCGGCCTCTGCAACCAACATAATATCAAGAGCTAGTCAAGACATCGAGGATGCACACAGCAACCTATTACAAAAAAAAACTCAAACAGCAGCACGCAGCAACAGGTAACACCAACTACCGCCCTTGGCAAAGCAAGAACTGCGAGAGAGGTTTTTCAACATGAACCTGAGCATGTGTCAGGCCGGGCTTGTAAGAGCCCGGCCTTCAAAATAACAGCCCGCACTATCCTCTTTTCTCAAGCCCAAGCCCAGCCCAAAGTCAAATCTGAAGCCCGAAAGCCAGCCTGAAATTCACTTTTCAATACTTGCACATGCAAGCCCGGCCCGAAATCTAGAAAAATAGAAGCCTGAGCCCATCCCAAACTACCATCCGGACTGCAAAAGGAGGCCCGAGTTAGGCCCGATTGACAAGCCTGACCCAGGCGGGCCTTGGTTTTTCAGGTCAGTTGTCAACCGGGCTGCCCATACCCGGGTCCACTTCAAGAATAACGCCCCTAGGAAGGGAACGACATACCGCGCCGCCACTGCTGGATTCAACCACTGAAGATCGGATCATAGGTTTTTACCCCGAAGATCAAATCCGAGCAACTCCAAGCAATGCCTTCAGGAGCAGGAAGGCGTGTAAACACCGCCATTGCCATGTGCAACGAATTAAGGTTATTGTTCCCACACATGAGTAATAGTGGAAAAAGGAGAGGTGAACTCACAACCAACCCCAACCTTTATAAGCAAGGAAAGAAGATGACAACTATCATCACAATTGGCATGAAGAGTCAAAAGGGCGATAAGCAGAAAAACAGCTTTGCACCAATCCCACTCGTGTTGAATTGTACAACACCAAATCTCACCATATCAAACCCCTGGTGTGACCTCGCGAGGTTCTCATAATTCTTGTAATGCTCCAGCCTCATCTTGCGATACTGATCTCTACTGTATTTTAACCTCTCCCATGGTATCCCTTGCATGTCTTTTCCATTTCTGTACTGCACGGCTGATGTATCATTCTTATGCTTATTCTACAACAAGAACAAAATTGAGGTCTTAATGGCCTTTAAACAAATGAAAGAATGCAATTGTTCAGACAAACCAAATAATTCAGACTAATCTAATAAAAAGAAAAAGTAACATATCTAGAAAGGCTCAAGTATCTGTATGTTATACTGCACCATTGAAAACTAGCACAATATTACTAGAAATCATAAATGTCCATCCGCACATTCCTACATCATGATTTAGTAGGTGTCCCAGTTGTTGGCTCGTTGCCATCACATATGTCCACCTCAATAGTGATGTTGTTGTATTTCGGCAGGCACTCCAAAAGCTAATCTAGCACTAAAATTTCCTTTTAGTGCCAACCATTTCCACTAGGTGGGGCCATCGGCAAGATTTGCAAATGTTATCCTACATATTCCGTGGCTGAATTGCCAACATGCTTTATTTAGCTTTAGCAGAATTAATGTGTGGTCTGCACGTAAGAACACTCCATTAACCACCTGCTTCCGTATTGAAGGATTGAACCAACACACGAACTACTAAATTATTACTCCCTCCGTTCCTAAATACTTGTCTTTCTAGAGATTTCAACAAGTGACTACATACGGCGCAAAATGAGTGAATCTACACTTTAAAATATGTCTACATACATCCGTATGTTGAGTCCATTTGAAATGCCTAGAAAGACAAGTATTTGGGAACGGAGGGAGTACATGTAGTGAGACTTGGTTAACCATACCGGGCTTGAGGGATGGCCGTCGCGGCCGCCGGAGAAGCCAAACCCGTCGGAGTCGAAGTGGTCGTCTTGCAGGTCTTCCAAATCGTCGTTCAAGTACACGGCCATCGTCCCTGCCAAGGAAAACCACAAGAATCGCGTGAATTCCAGAAAGGAATCGAGAAACTCTGAGAAAAAGACTGCAACTTGCGAACAAGAGTCGTGCAAGCGCAGCTCGGCGGCCGGCCAAAACCTCCCAAACCACCGAGACGAGCGGAGCAACCCAGCGCGGCAGGGAGGGAGGGAGGGATCACGCATTCGGACGCAGCAAGACCAAACCCTCCAAAGATAATCGGCGGAAAAACGCGCGCGCCGACGGCAGCACCTATGGCGGATGATTTACCTCCCTGGGAGCCGGAGGCCTGCAGCGGGCGGTCCTGCTGGCCGGCACGGAATCTCGAATCGCGGTGGAGGTCCCTGGAGGCTGGAGCCCTCAGGATTCGGAGAGGATTCGGCGCGCGAGATGAAAATATCCCCGGTCGTTGGTCTTCGAGCAGGAAAGAATATCCCGGTGGTGGAAGTGGCGAAAGGGGAGGAGAAAAGCGGTGCGTGAGCCGAGGGAAGGAAAGCACCGCGTTAACTAGCCCGCGCCATTTCTATTTTTTTTTCTCGGGTTTTTTTTAGTCTACCACGTCTTAATTTATTCATAAAAAGCAGGAATTTCTGCCGCAATAATGTGCAGAATACAATCTGGGTCCATTGACCCAAACTTTGCAAAGATTATTAACCACCCCCTCTTTTGCTAACCCATGCGCAGCTCCATTCGCTGTCCTCCGGACCCAAGTCACCTTCCAGTCCCTTGTGGCCAGCATGTTTTTCACCTCCTTAATCAAAGGTCCCAACGCCGATAAATCATTTTCCTCACTCTGCAGCTTGCGTACCACCTCCAGGCAGTCCATCTCAAGGTGTAATTTCGCGAAGTTTAGATCCCCCGCGAGTTGCACTGCCCTCTTACAAGCTTGGAGCTCTACCATTGCTGGGTCCCTGCCCATAGGGTAGTAGTGGCAGGCTGCTGCGACGAAAGCTCCTTCTTCATTCCTAAAAACCACACCACCGCCCCCTTCTCCCCTCCTTTAGTAGATGCCCCATCAATATTCGCCTTGATCCACCCTTCTTCTGGAACACTCCACTTTTGGACCGGGATTAGTGACGGAACTTTGCTCGCTCTACCGTTAACATTCTGCCACTCTTCCATAAGTCTCCTAACCATGGCTGCCGTGTACGCCGCTTCCTCTATCCTCCTCCCATCTCTCGCATTATTTCGTGCCATCCACAACACATATAAAACCTGCACCATTATAGCTCGAGCATCGTCCGACGCTTCAGCAAACCATGATAGAAGCCATTGAGCTAGTGCACTCTGGGAGCTTACTGACTCCGGCGGGATCGCCGCCGGTGCTCCCAATTCCGAGTACAACACCTTCCAAAACTTTGCAGAATGTGGGCATCTCCAAAACCTGTGTATGTTCGTCTCCTCTCTTCCACACACCACACAGAACACCCCAGGCTTAATCTTGCGCCTATGAAGCTCAAAACCCACCGCCAGCCCGTTTCGAATAAGCCGCCATGTATGTATTTTGACTCTGCCCGGGGCAACCGTATCCCACAGATTCATCCATGCTCTATGCTCTTCCACCGAGGAGGACGTCCCCGGGCCGCCAGTCCTAGCTCGTTTTAGACCCATGCATAGGTGGTATGCCGATCTAACAGTGAAAACACCATCCCTCGTATAGTTCCATGCGAGATAGTCCTCAACAGTCGGCCCCCCCACTGAAATTTGCAAGATCTCACGGGCCTCCGCCGGCGGGAACATGTTCTGAACCTTAGCCTAGTCCCATCCGGTGCTTGTGTTATTCAGCAGGTCCCCAACTCTCGTAATGCCCGGGACAAACACCTGGCCCAGTGGCTTCAGGCTGCCCTTTCTTGGTATCCAATTATCATGATGTATACGCACTTGTGAGCCATCTCCAGTTCTCCAAATCAGTCCTTCCAAGAGTAGATCTCGGCCATGAAGAATGCTCCTAAACGTGAACGACCCCCCCCCCCGCCGGACAAGTGGCACTGAGAATGGAGCTATCTGAGAAGTATCTCGCTCTAAGAACTCTTGCACACAATGACTCTGGCATCTGCAGCATCCTCCATGCTTGCTTGGCTAGTAGTGCTTGATTGAAGGCTTCTGGATCCCTAAAACCAAGACCACCTTCCTGCTTCCTAGTGCACATTTTATCCCATGCAATCCATTGTACTCTTTTCTCACCATTAGCCTCACCCCACCAGAAGTTAGACGAAATAGATGACAGGTTCCCGCACATTTTCTTTGCGAGTTGAAAACAGCTCATAGTGAAAGTAGGAGTAGATTGAAGTCCCGATTTGATCAACACTTCCCTGGCCTTCTTAGACAGCCCTTGGCCCTTCCATCCTGACACTTTTCCCTTTGCACTCTCCTTGACGTATTTAAACGTTCCTTCCTTGAATTTTCCCACCACCGTTGGTAGGCCCAAATATCTCTCCCCAAGAGCCTTAGAAGCTATGCCAATTGTTTGTTTAAGTAGCTCTTTATCTTCATCGCCACTATCTCTCCCAAAAAATATAGCAGATTTCTCCAAATTGACTCTTTGACCGGACACCACTTCATAATCCTGCAAAATAGCGCGAAGACAAAGGAAATTGTCTTGGGATCCCTCCACGAAAACGATACTGTCGTCAGCAAATAGTAGATGAGTGACCGTGGGGCCAGTGCTCCCAAACGATACACCCTTAATCCTCTTCTCCTCCTGGGCATGTTTAAGCAAAGCTGAAAAGCCCTCAACACAGAAGAGAAAAAGATAAGGCGATAACGGGTCACCTTGCCGAAGGCCCCTAGAAGGCAAGAATCTGCGAGATAAGGCACCATTTAGTTTCACTGAGAAACTCGCAGTCATTACACACCTCATGATCATCTCTCTCCAGTGAGCAGAGAAACCATATTTTGTCATTAACTTGATCCAGAAAGATCCACTCCACTCTGTCATAAGCCTTCATCATGTCAAGTTTAATTGCACACAGTGGCTTCCTCCTCTTCCTCTTCCTGATAGCATGAATGCACTCGTATGCCACCAAAACATTATCCGTGATTAGTCTTCTCGGGACAAACGCACTTTGCTCCTCCGCAATCAACACCGGCAACACCACCTTGAGCCTATTAGCCAAGGTTTTTGACGCGATTTTATACAATACATTGCACAGACTAATTGGTCTGAACTGGGAAAGCGTCTCAGGTGAGGCCACCTTGGGGATCATGACTATAATTGTATCGTTGAAACCATCCGGCGTTGTCCTCCCTGCCAAGAAATCCCGAGAAGAATATATCTATATTTATATATCTACATTTATCTCTACCTACTTGAAAAGGATGTAAAGTCCAAAAAAAATTAAAGGCATCTTCGACACGGACCCTCAAAAGACCAGCAACTGTCCGGACAAAGTGTTCAGACGCAACTTCTCATTCAACGTGGTACCCCTTGATCTGCGGACCAGTCCAGTTGTCCGAATAGCCGCAAACCGGATGCAAACTGAGGTGGCTCTGTGTGTCCGAACCGCCATGACATAGGACTCCGACATCCCTGACCCACTCAAATCTTCTTCTGGTCCACTTTCCTTCCACTCCGCCCTACTTCTCCTTTACTTTGCATCTGCACCATCCTTCTCACCCGCCGCTGCACCTCTCCGGACGCCGCCTAGGCATCCTCGGACGTTTGCATCCCTCACCCACTCGCATGCTCGCCTTGGACTATGCCACCGTCCACCCAGGATCCGGCTGTAGCCAGGTACCCTCTTCCCCCTACCAACGCCGTCCATGGCGGACACCACACCTTACAGGTGTTCGATCAAATGCCATATAATTTTTGTTTTGAACATCTCGTTGTTTTTTAAAGTAAGCACGATGTCTGGATACTCGATGATGAAGAATGAGTTGTTGTATGCATCGAAGATTGGATCTGCGAACTTTGTAGGCATAAGACAAGGGCCTCAATGTTTTGGCCAAACCAACATGTTTCTTCACACCTCGTTGTAAAGGATTGTTCATGGAATGTTTTTTTAATGCTCGTGGCACATAAAAAATGTTCACAACACTCACATAAACATCTGACGTTTTAAAAATGTTCATGAGAACGTAAACAATTATCATATAACTTTTTAAAATGTTCACAACATTTCAAAAATGTCCACTCATTTTTATTTTTTTATGAAAAGGTAAATAATTATTGTCACAATTTGAAGGTATGTTGATGACATGTAAAAAAATGTTCGATCCTTCTTTTTACAAAAGAAGGATTAAAATATGAAATAAAGCAAAGCAAAGGAAAATATAAAGAAAAAATAGATATAAAAAATAAAAATAACACCTGGAATTTCCTAAAAGTGGGAGGAAGGTTTCTAAAACCGCTCCTATGAAGGTTCCAAACTGGTCCATTCAGGTCCGTAGAAGATTCATAAAACCACTGGAAAACGTTGTTGGGCTGGCTCATTTCATGCGGTACTGTAGGTGAGCTGACGGTGCGTCTCATAGTAAGCGAGATATAGCACTGACTGGCTGGACAAAGGGTTTCATAGCACGGGCTGAAATGAGCCCGGATGAACTGTGAGATTGAAAAAACTAGAAGAACGCCCGTGCGTTGTAATAGGGCCACATTAATTTTAAAAATTCAATATTAATATTCTCATATATATCAAGTGATATTGGCGATCTTTTTTATCATCAAATCCTCACACACACACTCTCTCCCTCCCTCTTCCTAACTCTCTCTCCCCCTCTTCCTCTCTCTCTCTCTAACACACACACACACATCTATCTTATTGGGTACGGGACCATAATCCATCTATTTCACACACGCACACGCTAGTGCATAACAATATAGATTATGTGTATTATATTTGCCACTACAACTGAGGGAATTAATTTCATGTAAATCGGCCAGCCACAGCTCCAAGAATACGCGGAGGAGGTGGCCCGGGTCGGCGTAGGCGCTGTTCGGCGCGGGCCACAGGCCCGCTTCCAAGTGCGTCTGTGTGACGGCCACCCACGCCGGGTCCTTCAAATGCCGCTTCCACCGCACCAACTCCCAGGGCCACGGCCACGGCCAGGGAAGCCGCCTTTCTTCGCCCCCTTCACCAGCCGCGGCCAACGCGGTGCCGCGGCACCCGGTCTTGCCGTCCTCGTCCTCCGGCACCGTCGCGAGGCAGTGACGCGGCCCAAACATCGGCCTCGAGAATCAAGAACGCTCGACAACGGAGAGGGAAGGAAAGATCATATACATGTCATAAGAAAGGGAGTTTATTTACTGCTCCATCGATGTATTGTTTCCTTTGTTTGGAGATTGATTACCATCCATGAGTTAAGGTAAGGTTAATGTGATTGAGCGATTTTTCTGAAAATCAAGTATTTGTTTTTTTAATTAATGTGATTGAGTAATTTAAGGTAAGGTTAATTAATTTAGATTTGATCTTTAGAGATTGTTCGTGATTGATTCTATATTACTAAATAGCTTGCGCCAGTATGGAAAGTTCTGATCTGTTCAGATTTTTTTCGTTGTGTGAGAGGGTGACGCGAAAATAAACCGATAAAGTGGGGGAGGGGACGAAAAATAACCTACGAAAAAAATCAGCGAAGGTGGGAGGAGGTACCAAAAAAACCATAGAAGGTGGGACAAAAAAAACCTGAAAGCGAGACTATCAACTGCTCCATTAGGAGTAGAGATGAAGAAAAAAATTCTGATTTTCTTTTTGGAAAACATTAAAAAAATTAGTGCTTGCAAAGTTTCATCATGGAATTACATTTGTGGAAGTCGTGGCAAAAAAATGATGATTCGAAGATGCTACTTTCAGAAGCATTTTGGGGAGCTGATTTTATCTTTTTGCCATGACTTCCACAAATGTGTTTCCATGATGAGAAAATTTGAGCACCTGAAAAAAATTCTTATTGTTTGCCAAAAGAAAAATCAGAAATTTTTGAATTGTTTTTGATTTTTTTTCTATTTTTACTGTTCATGTCAAGAACATTTGAGCTCGAGCTCAGATTAGGACTTTGGCGACTGTCATTGTAACCACTAGTTGTTGTGGTAATGCATTTCTGGAAGTTTGCTTCTTTATTGAGACCTCCAAATGTGCATCTTGTTTTCTCACAGTAGTGTCTGACAACATGAAACCGGACGTGTTTCTCACTCTGTTTATATTTGATGTGCTCCAACGTTTCTTCTTGCCAGTCTCAGAACACTTGATTCTACGAGAGAAAAAAGTTCTTGACAAAAGGAGCAGATACTTCCTTCACAACAAAGGAACACTCCTCCAATGTCCATAGACATAGCGGGCTTTAAAGGACAGTTCCAGGATACAGTTCATGGATTCAGGAGAAGATGAATTTCAACACCTTATTTTTTTCTGCTTTCCTTACAAAATAAATCAACAGAACCTAACCAATCAAAACTGTAGTAGAAGAAAAGAAATAACTATTCAGATATCCTAAGGCTTTCTGCCTAGTGCCTAAATCTGCACTTTGATGCTCTGTTCTTCTACCCTCTTACCAAGGACAGGCAGGGGCTGGGTAGTGTCATATAATTCCACTTCGATGCTCTGTTCGTCGTCCTCACATGAAGAAGTTGGGCGCACCAAGGCCGAAGGTCGGGTCGAACTCGAAAAGGCAGTCCATGCTCGGGGCCGACACGGCTGTGAGCGCCGACACCACCTCCTGGAGGTCGCCGTCCAGCGGCCACTCCGTGTACGCGCCGGCCGGCACCGGGTACGGTGACATGGTCAGGCCACCGTTGGAGCCGGACTCCACAGGCGAGGCCATCGACGGCGGTGAGACTGAGGTGTTGTTCAGGGCGCCGTGGTCCGCGTCCACGGTCAGGCCGGCTCTGAGGCTCTGCAGCAGGCTCTCCGCGTGCGGGTTGTGGTGGTTCGTCGGCGGCCTCCTCCCGCCGCCGCCGCCGCCTGGCCTGCAGGTGTGCTGGCCGTGGTAGACGATGTCGAAGAGCGCGGGGTCCTGGTCGGCGCGCTGCACCTGCTTGGTGGCGGGGCAGCCCTGCGAGTTGCGGTGGGTGCAGCGGTAGTAGGCCCTCGGGTGCCTGGCGCCGAGGATGTCCTTCTGCCCGTACTTCCTCCAGCTGTGGCCGTCGTCGCCGGGCCACTCCGCGCCGCCGGCCGCACTCACCCTCACCTGGCTCGTCCACCTCGTCGTCGCCTTCCTGCCAAGAACCACGAGACACCAAGAATTCAACAACAATTCGGTGCATTTTGGATGATCCAATTCCAATGGTGCTCTGTTCGAGCATGGGCTTTGTTTTTACCTCTTCTTGGTGTTGGTCCTGAAGGGCTGGTCGGAGACGCCGCTGAGGGAGCTGGACGTGCTGGAGGGCGTCGTCGGGGCGTCGGGGAAATGTGCGGCGGCGACGAAGCCGATGGACCGGTCGGTGAGCGCGAAGATCTCGGCGGTGAGGGCGCGGCACAGGTCGATGGAGGCGTCCGGCGCGTGTAGGTGCAGCTCCAGCTGCCGCACCAGCTCCTGGACGCGGCACAGCTCCGACACCACAAGCTGCAGGTTCCCGCGGCCGGCGCCGTTTCCCTCCACGCTCTCCATTGCCGCGGACACGGAAGAACACGTTCGATCGGCGGAGGAGAAGGAAGGAAGCGAGGAAGTGATCGGCGATATCTCTCGATCGCGAGGTGCAGGAGAGGAGGCGGTGGTGGTGACTGGTGAGAGGCGGGGAGACGAGCCATCTTATAGCGGCAGGGTTCAAGTCAAGTGAGGTGGAGGGGATTTGTTTGACTGGATGGGGATTGTTTGGACTGCCACTTGATTGGTTGCTGCCTTGCCGGGTACGGGTAGGGTTTTGCAGCTGCGGGCCGTTTTGCCCGTGAATTAAACACTTTCTATCGGGGGTGTATGCCCAAATGTTTAGATGGTCAAATGGATGGCTTTTATTTTTTTTCTTTTTGACAGTTTTTTTAAATATAGTATAATCGAATTTGCTTACATACACAAGCATATAGATAAATGCATGCACGCACATCCTATCTCTATGAGCACATCTCCGGAGGCCGGCATAACATTTTGAGATTTTATGAAGTCAGCACAGGAGCTTCGCGGTCGACGGGAACGTCTGCTCCCACTGAACGAACATCGTCAAAAACCTAAAATAAATCCAGGGATAATGCAAGCATCAATATCAAATACTCCCTCCGTCCGAAAATACTTGTCTTAGAAATGGATAAAATGGATGTATCTATAATTAAAATAGGTCTAGGTACATTGATTTTTAGGACAAGTATTTCCGACGAAGGGAGTATAGGACTTGAACCTGGTGGACCGGGATATCATAACCATCCAACCACAGGTTGATTCACTTCTTTTACAAAAATTAAGGGTTAATACCGAGTGAACCTTCCCATGTTGTACTTATGTAAAAAGACCGGGTGTGCTTATGTAAACACAAGCTGGCAACTATGTTGTGTCCTCGTACTCCTTTCTTTCCATATTGTAGTGCCCATAGATATAGATATTTTTTTTAAAGTCAAACTTTGCAAATATTGATCAAATTTATGGAGAAAACTATTTATATCTACATCTTAGGAAGAGCACTGATTCCAACATTAGACCCCTCCGACTGGTGGGTAGACGGCGAAAAGTCGACGACGTGTCATCCTATCAGAAGGAAGGCAGTGGTGAAGGGACACTTCAAACACTCGGTGCAGGTGTTGTCCAGGGGTCCAACACGGAGGAATTGTGCCCTCACCAGGTCTAGGGCACTTTGCTTGCCCTTTGGGAGCTCCGTCTTCGTCAACCTACAACAAACAATCATGATCATTGCTACTCTTTCCTCCAGAAGTAGACAAAGGGATTCTACTCAGCACTCTTGGCATGTCGCTATTACACGACGATCGCTGCACGCGTCCAAACCGTGTTCTTCTGCTTCAAGGTGGCGGTTTGATGCCGCTTGGACATGGCAGGTAGAGGAGCCATTTTAGACTTCATCCTCTCCATGTCCTTTGATGACTCGAGGAAATACATGTGATCTGATCATCCACCGGTAGCAACAGCTCTAATACTGTTGTTGTTGTAAACAACATAGAGAACGTCGGGCCGTTGACACTCCCCTTCGAGCCAACACGAAGGACTTGACTCCACGAGCGTTCAAACCACACAGCTCTAGGCGACGGGTGACTCGGTGGTGGTGGTGGAAGCACGAGTGACACCATTGGCAGGGACATCGAAGGAGGGGGGAGGGGAGGGGCCACCTGTACAACCGCAACATTGTGAGGAAAAAGAGGGAGGAACAGCACAATATCAGAAGATGTCTTCTTGCTAATTTTATGGACTGGTGCAACATTGGATATCTTAAAAAAGAGTTGTATATGATGCAACCAGAAGGTTTTGTCGATCCAAAAGGTGCTAACAAAGTGTGCAAGCTCTAGCGATCCATTTATGGACTGGTGCAAGCCTCTCGGAGTTGGAATATACGCTTTGATAGTGTGATCAAATCATATGGTTTTATACAGACTTTTGGAGAAATCTGTATTTACAAGAAAGTGAGTGGGAGCTCTATAGCATTTCTGATATTATATATGTATGACATATTGTTGATCGGAAATGATACCGAATTTCTGAATAGCATAAAAGGATACTTGAATAAGAATTTTTCAATGAAAGACCTCGGTGAAGCTGCTTATATATTGGGCATCAAGATCTATAGAGATAGATCAAGACGCTTAATTTGACTTTCATAAAGCACATACCTTGATAAAGTTTTGAAGAAGTTCAAAATGGATCAAGCAAAGAAAGGGTTCTTGCCTATGTTACAAGGTGTGAAGTTGAGTCAGACTCAATGCCCGACCACTGCGGAAGATAGAGAGAAAATGGAAGTCATTCCCTATGCTTCAGCCATAGGTTCTATCATGTATGCAATGTTGTATACCAGACCTGATGTGTGCCTTGCTATTAGTTTAGCAGGGATGTACCAAAGTAATCCAGAAGTGGATCACTGGACAGCGGTCAAGAACATCCTGAAATACCTGAAAAGGACTAATGAAATGTTTCTCATTTATGAAGGTGACAAAGAGCTCATCGTAAACGGTTACGTCGACGCTAGCTTTGACACTAGTCCGGATGACTCTAAGTCACAAACTGGATACGTATTTTTATTGAATGGTGGAGCTGTTAGCTGGTGCAGTTCCATGCAGAGCGCCGTGGCGGGATCTACGTGTGAAGCGGAGTACATAGCTGCTTCGGAAGCAGCAAATGAAGGAGTTCATATCCGATCTAGGTGTCATACCTAGTGCATCGGGTCCAATGAAAATCTTTTGTGACAATACTGACGCAATTGCCTTGGCAAAGGAATCCAGATTTCAAAGAGAACCAAGCACATCAAGAGACGCTTCAATTCCATACGCGATCAAGTCAAGGAGGGAGGCATAGAGATTTGCAAGATACATACGGATCTGAATGTTGCAGACCCGTTGACTAAGCCTCTCTCACGAGCAAAACATGACCAACACCAATACTCTACGGGTGTTAGAATCATTACAATGTAATCTAGATTATTGACTCTAGTGCAAGTGGGAGACTGAAGGAAATATGCCCTAGAGGCAATAATAAAGTTGTTATTTATATTTCCTTATATCATGATAAATGTTTATTATTCATGCTAGAATTGTATTAACCATAAACTTAGTACATGTGTGAATACGTATACAAACAGAGTGTCACTAGTATGCCTCTACCTGACTAGCTCGTTGATCAAAGATGGTTAAGTTTCCTAGCCATGGACAAAGAGTTGTCATTTGATAAACGGGATCACATCATTAGAGAATGATGTGATTGACTTGACCCATCCGTTAGCTTAGCACTTTGATCGTTTAGTTTACTGCTATTGCTTTCTCCATAACTTGTACATGTTCCTATGACTATGAGATTATACAACTCCCAAATACCGGAGGAACACTTAGTGTGCTATCAAACATCACAACGTAACTGGGTGACTATAAAGATTCTCTACAGGTGTCTCCAATGGTGTTTGTTGAGTTGGCATAGATCGAGATTAGGATTTGTCACTCCGTGTATCGGAGAAGTATCTCTAGGCCCTCTCGGTAATGCACATCACTACAAGCCTTGCAAGCAATGTGACTAATGAGTTAGTTACGGGATGTTGCATTACGGAACGAGTAAAGAGACTTGCCGGTAACGAGATTGTACTAGGTATTGAGATACCGACGATCGAATCTCGGGCAAGTAACATACTGATGACAAAGGGAACAACGTATGTTGTTATGTGGTTTGACCGACAAAGATCTTCGTAGAATATGTAGGAACCAATATGAGCATCCAGGTTCCGCTATTGGTTATTGACCGGAGATGAGTCTCGGTCATGTCTACATAGTTCTCGAATCCGTAGGGTCCGCACGCTTAACGTTCGGTGACGATCGATATTATGAGTTTATGTGTTTTGATGTACCGAAGGTAGTTTGAAGTCCCGGATATGATCATGGACATGACGAGGAGTCTCGAAATGGTCAAGACATAAAGATTGATATATTGGACGGCTGTATTCGGACACTGGAAGTGTTCCGGGTGGTTTCGGATAAAACCGGAGTGCCGGAGGGTTACCGGAACCCCCCGGGGAACTAATGGATCTAGATGGGTCTTAGTGGAGAGAGAGAGGGGCGGCCAGGGCAGGTCGCGCACCCCCTCCCCCTTGAGTCCGAATTGGACTAGGAAGGGGGCGGCGCCCCCCTTTTCCTTTCCCTGTCCCACTCCTTCCTTCCCCCTCCTAGTAGGACTAGGAAAGGATGAATCCTACTCCTACCAGGAGGAGGATTCCTCCCCTCCTTGGGCTCCCCAAGGGCCGGTCGGCCTTCCCCCTTGCTCCTTTATATACTTCGGTCATATCATTGCAGTGCTTAGGTGAAGCCCTGCGCCGGTAGCTTCATCATCACCATGATCACGCTGTCGTGTTGACGAAACTCTCCGTCGACACTCAGCTGGATCTAGAGTTCGTGGGACGTCACCGAGCTGAACGTGTGCAGATCGCGGAGGTGTCGTACCTTTGGTTCTAGGATCGATCGGATCGTGAAGATGTATGACTACATCAACCGCGTTGTCATAACGCTTCCGCTTATGGTCTATGAGGGTACGTGGACAGCACTCTCTCCTCTCGTTGCTATGCATCACCTAGATAGATCTTGCGTGTGCGTAGGATTTTTTTTTGAAATTACTGTGTTCCCCAACAGAAGGGACACTTTAAACACTTACTGCAGGTTTTGTCCAGGGTCCGACACGAAGGGATTGTGCCTTGACCAGGTCCAGGGCACTTTGCTTGCCCTTTAGGAGCTTTGTCTTCGTCGACCTACAACAACAACAATCATGATCATTGCAACTCTTCCCCCCAGAAGTAGACAAAGGGATTCTACTCGGCAACTTACTCACAGAAGGATGAAAGGCAATTTCTCTGGCTCCTTGGCATGTCGCTATTACATGATGATCGCTGCACGCGTCAAAATTGCGTTCTTCTGCTTCAAGGTGGCGGTTTGATGCCTCTTGGACATGGTGGGTAGAGGAGCTGCTTTAGACTTCGTCCACTCAAG